TAAAGTTATCCATGTGTTTTGTTAACCCTTGACAGCTAGCATGTCATCCTTTTTGAATTTCACACAGACAATAACCCAGTGACCTGCTTCACAGCTAAAATAAATCCTTAAATAGACTGATGCCAGTTGGCATGGTAACCTCATGTGTCTTGATTTTCACATCGTCTACCCCCTTTGAAACGTGGGGCGCTCAGCATGACTTTGAATTTAAAGCTGAACCAAACAAAGGATGAAAATGCCCAATGTCTTTGAAATAGTGTGGATGACCACACAGCCTGAGAGAAAAGGGCTTAGACGAGGGGGGAAATGGTGAAATTATGAACAATAAATGAAATGAATGTATGAATTTCAGCAGATAGGAAAAAATGGGCGTAAGACTCGATCTCAAACAGCCAGCAGTCACGTCTGAATTGATATCAAACAGGTCAAACTAATGAAGTGGGAAATAAATTCTGTTTTCTGACACTGCTGTTCTTTTCTCAATTTACCTCCCACAAAGAGGCAACAACCCTTTGTGTTTCTGCCAGCAGATGGCTGTGCAACACTCACAGAGACACAAAGATGTTTGGGCCATACCAATTTGAAGATTCGTTGTTTATTTTTATTTTACCATTACGTGCTAATTATATAAGCTGATTTTTAATTGTGATAATATTTTGAAAATCCACTTAATCGATAAAGTGATGATATAACCTGTTAAGGTGTAATTTATTTCAATATGGGACTAGATCATCCATGTTTGAACATTCAAGTTTAGTTGTATTTATTACTGTATACAGTCGGGACCGATGAGACACACACACACAAATATTAACGTGTAATAAAGGCCTGTTCAGAACATTAGTTTCATGTCACATTCTTAAATTTTCCACTAGGGGGCGCCAGAGTCGAGCAAAAGATGAGAATCTGAACGGAATTGATGGATGAGGCTTTTTCTTTAATGAAGAATTCTTAATGAATTGATTTCCACAAACAAACCCAGATAAGAGCATGTTTTCAATAAAGACCTTTAACTTGAGCTTTTTAAGCTATGTCTAAATTTGTGTTGAGCTCTGTATTTAGACATGCACAAGGATGCATCAATGTGCAGTGGTTATAAGGTTACAGTAATGCCTCTGCAGCTGTGAACGCACAGATTTTTCCTGATTCTTTTAGTCGCGATGTTGTTCTCATAGCAGAATACAAAGAAAGGCCTTGACCGAAAGGGGAAACGGAGAGAGTGGGAAAATGTATAGACATGTCAGATTTTTGGCCGGAGGCTTTGCACTGTTTACCTGGACAGCATTTGTCAGTAAAAGTCACTGGGTCAGATAATTGAATGAAAAGAGACAGATGGCGGCAGCATTTACTGCTGATTACATGGAAGCTGTAAAGTGCCTCTCAGTAGCTGGGGGTGTCGGGACCTGGCCCATTAAACTACTGGAGCCTGAATCTTAAAGGGATGTAGTTGCACCAGGAGGAGAGAGCACATTAAAAAAAAAAAATACTAGACACCAAGATGCTGTCTACCCAATGAGTTTATGTAATAATAATTCTATTGGTAAACAGCTTTGCAACAAAAACAAATCAGTCCCTTAAATATTTGGATTATAGGGTGGAGGTGCCGTCACTCACCAGGATCAAAGTATACACAGCAGAGGCCTCTGAATTATGAGATAATTGCACAGGATGGCTGTATGTGCACAGTGCAGTCAATATAAATTGTTATAGTGATGTAGGGCCATATGCAGAGTCATGAAATCACAAGAGATGCATTGTTGTTGGGCAAACCTCCAGACTAAAGGCCCAGGATTCCTTAAAGAGATGCATGTTGCTCACCCCCTTTCATTCTAACAGTGGAGGGCACAGCTAACCAAAAGCGTAGCTTTGCTAACCAGTATTCTGCTAACTAAAAACTAGCTTTAGTTGAAGCTGCGTCGACCAATCACGTCCTGTCACGTGTACGTGTACTGTAACAAATGCTTTATCAACTTAAGAGGTTTGGTTTTTCAGCAGAATACTGAGCTACAGTGCTGATAATTTGTGAATTTTAATAACCATTATTGTGCATGAAGTACTGAAGGCACATGTAGTAAATATAAATCACACAAAGCGTTAACTTGACGTTCTGCTGTTCACCTGCTGATTCTGACTTCAATCTGTGAATGACGGGCTCTTCTCTGCCTTCGCCCTCTGAGCCTGCTCACTGTTCATTTACATTTGTCTGATGGATTGCCTTCTCGGAGAAATGGGTGATATGTTTACTGATGTGTTTTTCTACTAACTCCACCAGGCAGGGAATCAATATTCCCATTACAGGTAGATTCCCCTTTCCTGACCTGCAGAATAGTAAACATCAGTCTATATCTTTGTCAAAATGATCGCCAGCGCGTGTTAGTTGAGGTCGTATAAGAAGATATTCTACAGCTTTGTAGCTCCAACAAAGAAAAGGTCAATAATTTACTTATTTATTTCTCTCTCTTTCTTTTTTTACAGTAGGTAGTAGAATGCAAATCTCCATTGTCAGCCAGTCTCTGATAGAAATGGCTATAACTAAATCAATTTTTCAGTTTTAAGTTCAAATTTGGACTTTAACTGACCACACAAGATATATACCTTCAAAACGTTGCCATTTAACTTTGCAGTCAATACAGCTTGTCTGTTAGCAACTTATCTTATCTTATTAGTATTTCATTGTTTCTAATTATATTTCATGTTTTTATGCTTTTATTCATGATGCTGTAATATCTTGTTATTAATATTTGATGTTGCAATCTTTTTTGGCAAGCACTTTGATAACAGTTACTGTTTTAAATGTGCTATTTAAATAAATGTGACTTGACTTATCTCATGAACCACTAAATGGGTTTTATGAAAACCTTCAGAAATAATCACTGGATGTACATCTACAACTGATTAATATTTAAAGTCAACTAAATTCACAGTTAATTGATGTTATCCAATTCAAAATGGCTACAACACAGCCAATTTTACATTAAATAAGCTCAAATTTGGTGTGGTAGTAGCTTATCATTATCACATACACATATTTGGAGAACCACAAATACAAGGTTTGACCTAAAGAGTTATGACTGTTTTGAAAAGCGGCGGGTGATATGCATTCCTGCATTCTTGGGTCCGATCTCAACTCAAAACTGTGTCAGATACTTTTTGAGAATATAAAATTATAGCTCAGCTTATGGGTTGCACTACAACATTTACGTTTGCAATAAAAAAGTTCAATGATAGCTTACATTTTACAGTCTAGAACAATAACCTGAGCAGTTTGCCGCTTAACTTAATCAGAAGATGAAGCAGACTTTATCAATTGGAGCTGAACGATGAGAGTTATACAGTGAGCCTCCAGCTCCATCACATTTAAAGGTTTACTTTCACTCGCGCTGCATTCTGACTCAACCGCATTGACAAGACAGTAAACTGAGCACAATTACCTGTCTGTGGGGAACGATTCGGCCTACATCAGCATAATCAATTTCTCCAGCCGGATGCTGTTCATCCAAAATGGAGATCGTTCACAAATCACAGTGTCTGCCCTTAGAGTTCAAGTTTAATGCCATCAGAGCTCCCATTCACTATCATTCACGCCCATTAAACTCCCTTCTTCCTCATCTGGTTGCGTTAATGAAGACGGTCTATTTGCTTTGTGTTACCGCCATCATTTCATCCAGCTACAAGGATTTTATTCAGATGTTACGAGAGTGGCTGGTGTGTCGCTGTTCTCTGCTCCTTTCACCTGACTGGCCTCACAGTAAAGATGATAAACAGTGTAAAAAGGAAGTGAGCAAACATCCAGAGGAGGCAGTCCTCTTGAATAAATATTTGTAGACCTTGTTTGGGCAGGGTTTTCTCTCACACGCGCTTAGAAAAGAGGCAGTTTTATTGACCCTGTGCGTGCATCTGCTGCTGTGCAAGCTTGTTTATACTGAGCACAACAACATTAATCTTTATGCATTTCTCATTTATTAATCATTAGTTGAGCAGTAGGACCGTTGATGATCCATTTGCATTATGTAAGGGCCCATAATGCATTGGTCTGTGGATGAAAAGCACGTTGCATGCCGCCTTTCATACCACAGCTTTAGACTAAAACGTCTTATGTTGAGGAATGACGGATGTTAAAGCCAACAACCTTCTGCTCAATCATGCAGTCCTGCAAAAACCTGCATGAGCTCACATTAAAGTATTTGTAGGGAATACATCTCAGCTACTACCACTCCAAATTTGAGCTCAATATCTCAAAAGCTTTTTGTATTTGCTAAGGTTGATTATTGCTGTGGTGGCCGTCTTGATTAAAAGTGAATGGTTTTGTAGACGCTCATCTATTGATTACTTTCTGAGGGGTTCCTTACAATCTGTCCAGTGGGTCATGGAATATTTTGCTAAAAGTACAAGCAGACACACACATACACAAGCAATAAATGTGTGTCACCATGTTTGCATTTCGTCATCAAAGCATTCTTCTCTGCAGTTCCCTCTTGAAGGATTGGAGCAGCACTTCACACTCTGGTGGAGCTTCTGTTCGTTCTGAGCACAGAGATTGGCTCACAGCTGTGCCACTCAGACAGCAAATACTCTCTGACTTCCTCTGTCCTCGTTTCCTAGTGCAGGCTGAGAGGAGGGAGGGGAATGGATCTTTTTCTGTGTGAGACGCCGGCACTGCCTCACCCTGCTCCTCCTCACCTGTCCTTGACTGGACGAAACACAGAGGAGGCTGCCCTGCTCTCTCCTCCTCTCCTCCACCTTTTTGAGTCTGTCTTCATGTGAGTACCTGCAGTCCTGCTGAGACATTCCTCTCTGTGACTTCCTTTTCTACCTGTGGTGCCTCAGTGGAGCAGTGAGGAGGGGAACCTTCGTCCTCGGCCAGTGGAGCTCTGATGGGAGGCAGCGTTGACTCTGGCTGGGACTGGGGATGCTGAACGGGGGGAGGGAGGGCCTGTTTGAGCTGGGACAGCAGCTCCAGCAGCAGGGGGAGTACCAGGCCGCCCTCCACTGCTTCCTCAGCTGCCTTCTGGGACTGACCCATGTGCAGAGCTTCACCTCTCTGCCCAACTGCCTACATCAGGTGAGTCAGAAGCTGGGAGCACATCCACACCCAAATATCTGCCTATTTTCTTTTTTGAGTCTAAAACGTTTGCAGTTTTGTGTATTTGCACATCTGCAGACACGTTTGCATCATTTCATCTGAGTGTTATCACACTTGACAGCACAGAGGACACATTTAACCTTGATATGTCTAACACCATTGTCAGCTCTGACAGCACAGTCCATCATGAGCTTCAGTGTTGACACTGGAAGTCGACTTTCATCCCACCAGGACTCAAGTTGTACTTTCTGCTAAATGGGGTGTTGGACACAGACTAATACTGATTGGATCTGGCTCATTTAGAAAAGTTTTGGTTTTGCCACCACGAGGCAAACTTTTACACACTGAGATGCTTTACAACAACCTCCCATGGTAGAGTAACACTTTTAATTCCCTCTAGTAGTGCATGAAAGAATGTGCCAGATGTCAAAATATTGCCTTTGCTCCAGAACTTTATAACATGCAGAATGATGTTGACCAGACCTTTGGTGCTGCAGTCAGAGCAGTGTTGTGTTTTAACAGCTCCTGACACCATGCACACACTAACCCCAGGGTCATGTTGGAAATTATTAATCATGTCTGCTTGTTTGTTTGTTTTCTTTTCTGTTTGTTGCAGATTGCTGAGCTCTTCATCACTGAAAAGAACTGTATCCTTTGCTTGAAAATTTAGAAGAAGAAAAAAAATAGAACAATTGCATTTTCTGCAAGAATGCAATGTGAATGTTGAAAGCTGAATGATGGTGCTGAAATTGCAGAAAAATAATGGAAGCAGGCTATTAACTAAAAGCTAAAAGGAGCAAAACACTGGCTAAAAACAGATGCACTTTAATGACAGCTTAAAGGTAAATGCAACAGAATTTACAAAAGTTCTGAACAAAAATGCAACCAAGCTGAAAGTAGCAAAAGGTTAACTAAATGTAGCAAAATAATAGATAACAGCAGCAAAAAGCTAGTTAAAAGTTAATGTTGTAAAACTAGCTAAAACTTGGCAAATTGCTAGCTAAAAGTTGCAGAAAAATAGCTAAAAGTAATAACAGATGACAAAAATAGAGCATCCAAAAATAGCTTTTTTTCTAAACAAATGATGCTAATGTATTTCTATGGGGAAAATGTTTGGAAATACACGTAAATATTGTAAAAAGTATCAAAGTTGCAAAAACCACAAGTCCTGAACCCATCTCCTGAATGAGCCAAACAATTTGAAGGTTTGCTCAAATAGCACAAAGTATGCAGAAATACTCGGATTGCAAGACACTCAAACAAAAATAAAAACAGTAGCATAAATGCTGAATCTGCATTCACACAAAAAAATCCTAGCAAGTGGCTAACTATAAAACTACGGCCCTGTGAGGTAAACATTTAAGGGAAGCAGGCGTAGCAGATTCCAGCACAAAAGAGGATGTTGACCATAAATAGACATCAATGTAAACAAAAGGGGCACGAGTACATGCCTCTGAGTCACAATAACACGTTTGTCCCGTGATGCCATATGTTTTGTGTTTCACTGTGAAGTCTCTTAAGAGGATTTGTGAGCTCTTATCTCTGTACAGCAGAGCGAGAGAGCACTAATTAACCTGTATCTGCACTGAGGAGCCCATGTATCCCCACTTCACTGCCACTATAAACCATAGCCTGACAGGACAAAGAGATAATAGAAAGGTTTTGTGTTTCAGGATATATTTCCACCCGCAGCTCCTGTCCTTGTTACTGAGACACTCCAGCACTTAGACCGGCCAGCTCAGGTTATCCACTTCAGCGAAGCTCCACCTCAAGCTGTCCATTTTTCAAAATAGGTTGATTTGTGGAGCTCCGGTCCATCTGCAGCCACGGTAGTCTATGTTGAGGTATGACAGAGTGTTTTGTTGTGTTCCACAGAGTTATGAAGATCATTGAAAAAATGAGTAGTGTTGGATCAAATCAGGGCGTTTTACGTATAATAGATTTGTTCTTATGGTGTGAAAATTATTAAACACAACCATAACACAGGGGGAATATGACACAGTTAATACTATAATAAATGTTTGGAGTTGTTGAAGCGATGAGTGTGTAAAAAGTCACAAAACTTGTGTTTGTTTTTTTAGCTGTTATCGGGTCTTTCAGTTGTTTAGTCATGTTGCAACAGTCCACCCTCTGGGGAGAAAGGTTGAAGTCAGTCTGCTCAAAGTGGCAACAGAATGTGGGAACTTTGGAGTGTCGCACAAACATTTTACAAGAGCAGAGATGGCAGCAAGTTTTTTTATAGGTCACATCAAGACCATAATTGGAAACAAAAGCTAAAATTGTACATATTCAGCGCACGTCGGATGTCGTTTCAGTCAGAATATTTTAGCTGAAATAGCTAAAAGTTGACAGTGATGATGGTCCCTTAAGGTTTGATGTGTTGTTTTCAGAGCTGACAGCATCCTTGAGTCACCTTTATCCATAGCTAAAAGCTCTTTTGGCTGCTGATATAAGATTCTTTGAAATAAAATTGACTTCCTTTTAACGACTGTAATCACAAAAGAATGCAAAATGTCTTAAATATCTGTAGTCTCATATTATATTTATATATATTATTAGGTGGGTATGCAATAACAAAATATCTAAATGAACTGATATAGAGTAGACCCTCACTTACGTTCCAGACACTCCGGCGATGGGTGAAGATCTGCGAAGTATGGACATTATATTTATTTTAGTATTTATATATGTTAAGGCTTTACAAACCCTTCCCACACTCTTGCAATGTTCTTAACAATATTCTAAACTCTTTAAACACGCTAAAAGAGCACAGTGAAAGAGAGCAGACGGACAGATGCTATGATTACTGAGCCAATTGGACTGGCCATTGGGAGCACCGGGAGATTTCCTGGTGGCCTGGCCCGCTCAGTGATCGCCGAGGGGGACTAAAGACTCTGTTCGGGTCACGCTTGATGATTTTAAATAAACAATTCATGCCACTCATGCGGCTCACTCAGGTATAAGACAGACCACCTCCTCCTTTCTTTTTCCGAGGCTGTCTGTTGTGTGCCCGCCTTTTGTGTGTCTCTGCTCTGCTGTGACAGTCTCAGAAAGAGAAAGGAGGCGTGGGGTGGGGGGGGGGGTGTCTGTTTTATACCTGAGTGAGCTGCGCTCAGCCACTCTCTTTTTTTTTACTTATTCACTCTTATATTTCCACCTAACCATTTTCTCCAATAATTTTTTTCATCTGATCTGTTCATCCCTGCTCCCTGAGAAGTAGCAATGGGGAAAGACAGACCCCACCCCTCCTTTCTTCTTTTGAGTCTGTCTGTCACATGTCTGCTCTCCTGTGACAAACGGCCTCAGAAAGAGAAAGGAAGGGGTGGGGGTGGTCTTTCCCCATCGCCAATCATGTGTCATGTACAATCTTATGCTGAAAACCTGCGAAAGAGTGTGTCCGTGAAAGTCGAACCGTGAAGTATCGAGGGACTACTGTAGTAGTATCACTTTACTTTTTGATTACGTGATTGCTGTTTTTGTCCAAATCTGTATATGTGAGTGTTAGCCTGTTAACAAAATATCTCATGAACCACTGGACAAGCTTTGATGAAACTTGTAGAAAGTTATTGACTGATCAACACTAGCCCACACAAAAATGGCTACAACCCAATCAAATGTACAGATGTTGAACTAAAATTTGTTGTGGTGGTAGTAGCTGAGAGTCATTAACAACACGTACTCAGAGTGTAATACCGCACAGTACTGCATTAAATCTCCACAACGCTAATTTTAAAGGTTTGACCTAAACTGTCACAACTCTATTTCTTACATGAGTGGTCTGAAAATCAAGCAACGTGTATACTTTCAAGGAATTATAGACCTTTAGTTCATGTTTCTGCAAGAGGTTTGTGTACCTCAATACTTGTTTATTTTTTTAACTGTGCTTCAGGCTCTTTTGGCATGTTGTTCTCCAGCGGAGAGGACTGCTGGAGGATTCCTGTCGTGGCGTTGTTGTGATTCAGGCGAGTTAAAAATAGCAGGTAACAAACGTGCTCTGACCTTTGTTGATGGCTGCCCCCCTAATTCCCCCTCGCAGATGGTCCGCCTCACGTTTGTCCCGTCCCCAGCTGCCAGGTGGCTCCTCGGAGCTGGGACAGGTAATAGCTGTGGTTCAAATCACCCTGAAATAGAAACTGAGGCGTGTTGGAAATATTAAAGCAATACATACAAACAAAAAAACTGTTTTCTTACTAAACACTACTGATGATGGTTTTCTTTTTAACTTTCTCTTTGAGTTTGCTTCCTTTCTGAAACTATTTATGCTGGTTTACCTTTAAAATTTAAAGTTTTTTTCATGTTTTTCATTGATAAAAACCTATTTTCTACCTTAGTGACTTTTGTCATAGGTGCATAGTTTGGTTTAGGGGTCACTGAAGTGACTACAAGTCTGTGATGGAAACATTGCTCATGAGAAACTGATGTTAAGTAGGACATTTCAACAGCGACTGCTGTGTTTATTTTAAGCACTCATCGTCCCATTGGTCATTAAGCTCACCTGACAAGCATCAATGGTGTCTTTTTACAATGACAAGAGCTCTTAGAGCTCAGCGTGCTTTTTTTTAAAGTGAGTTATTTTAGGAGGCTTTAAAAATAAAGTCCTTTTCATAGAAACAAAAGTCTGCTTTAGATTTTTCAAAGGAATTTGAAAAGATTGGAAATACAAATATGCTCAGACTGAGAAGAAATTAATTATATATCCAGTAAGTTGTGAGGTTTAGTGACTTATAAACCAAAAGCAAGCAATACACACGTGTTGTAAGTCTAATATCAGCACTGCAAAGTCCTGACTTCCAGATCAACAATGGTGCTTTGCATTACTCCAAACTCTGTTTGGCCTGAAGGGCCGTTCTAAAGTGGGACTGAAAAAGAAAGGAAAAGAAACGTGACGGCTGTTTTTATCCTCCACAACTGACTAATCCTGCTGACAACTGAGCCCGATCCTTCACCTATATAAACAGATGGGAAGGCCCTCCAGTTCATCCAAGCTGAAAAGATGTTCTACGAAGTGGCGCTGATCGAACTCACAGCTCTTCAGGGAAGCACAGGCAAGTCTGTTTTTTTATTAAATGATATTTAATGGAATTAAAAGTGGAACCACAAAGCATCTTGGCTTTAGTTTATTATTATATGTGTAGATTACATTTCACAGAGAACGCTTTGATTTTGATTAGACTTGTATGTCTAAAGGAGATGTTTGTTAGCAACTTTAAGGAAGTTCAGGAAAGTATGGTACTGTATTTTTTTTTAAACAAACATAAGTAAAAATCTCACATGGTTGAGGCCTTAAATTCCTGTGGGAACCTGGAATGTGATCTCATAGCTTCACTTATAGCTTGATGTGGACTTGTGCGGGTGATCTCAGGCAGGTTTCTGCTTCATACGTCCGCCTGCTCCTCTGACTGCTGCTGAGGCAGCAGCGCTGTGTAGCAGAGAGGACCAGGGACAGACAAAGCAGAAGACAAATGGGCACATCTTCTCATTAGGATCTATGCATTACTACCAAGCACCTGATTCAGCACTGACTCAGGTTGAACAGGGAGCTTCTCCTGGGGCAGAGAAGGCAGCCTTTCTCTCCTCCCTATGTGCAATGACTTCTCTCAGTCTTTCATCTCTAACACCTGACATATTTATCATTTTTGTGGAGCATTAGTGCAAACCAGAACCTGCTCTGCTGATTTATAGAGTCTCACTTGTGATATTGATTATAAACCGAATGCATTACCTCCACTGATATGGGATGTGCTGTGTTCTTTGTGTTGTTTGTGAGTCTCGGAGCTTATAGGCGTGGTGAAGTGTGTTGTTTGACGTCCTTATCTGCTCTCTCCTGCTCTTATCTGTGCTCTCTTGTCTTCAAGCCTCACTTGGCTCCTTGTCACAGCTCAGGCTTAAAGTTCAGAGCAGTGTCAGACAAGCTGATAGCCTGTTACTTAGAGTTTGGGTAAATTTATCTTTCAGAGTCTGTGGAGAGCGTTGAAGGAGGGGACGGGTAGATTGAGAAACAAAGGAATAGGTCGTGCTTCGCTTGCAAGCTGACAGAGCTTCCATGCCCTGTGTTTCTGTAACAGGACCTCAGGAGGAGGCCAGTCTGGGCTCTGCAGGATGGACGACCCCAGAGGAACTTTCAGAGCAGGCCTCCCAAGCACAGCACCTGGAACGGCTGGCTCAGCTCTGCATCATGAACAAACAGTAGGTAAAACTAAAGCTGAAGTTGAAACTAACAGTTAATTGGGTATAATGTGTCCTTAACAGATCAGCAGCTCTTTATGTGTATTTATAGTCATAAAGATAGATGCACTTTTATTTCTTAGGCCAGTAGGCTTTGTGAAATCTTTTCAGCCAGAACTGACTTTCATTACCCATGTAAAAAAAAAAAAAAGATACTGCACACTGGAGCGAGAAACACCTTACCCAGTGTCTCCTGTTGCACGAGTACTTTGTTAGGGCCGTAGCATGCACGTATTTTCTGATCCTCTGTTGTCATTGATGAGATTAAGACATTTAACCTGAATCCCAGAGAGGGTGACAGGGTGGAAAGTTTGTTTGGTCACTTAATTAATGCAAAGAGCATACAGTGGTTAAACTTAAATGAGATGCCACTGAGCAAGCATGGCTGGAACGAGAGGCTCGGGTTTCCAGCGACATACGGAGATGCAGAAATGTGCTTTACTCTTCATTTCCTTTTGTATCTTTATTTAGTGTAAATATGATTTTAAGCAAGACGATTTTATTTCCTGTCTTTTCCATTCAGCATTTATGATATATATATGATATA